CAAAAATAAAAAAAATATAATTACACTGTACATAAACATCAGACAACTATGACTACAAAATATATTAGTATAGAACATCACTATCATTTGAATAAACTATAATACAATTGATTATTAGTGGGTAACTCTATACAATATTTTAATATCAACTATGTACTATTCAGTATATAGAATACATAGTAGATATAGTACAAGAATGATGAGTATCTGCAGTTATGATAAATACATTATGTATAAATAAACTGGCTAAATTACCTGTGTGTGGAAAAAAGTTTGTCTACATTTTGATGTTGACAGCCGTAAAGGTAAAGTCTGCAAAGTTGCAAATGAAACATATAACTTATGTGTATAATTAATAAGACTGTAATTCTGATGAAAATATCAGAATATAGATTTAAAAATTGACATTATGACATAAAATGGCCCAAAGGGCCAAGTAAGCTTATGCTGTGGCACAGCATCCGACGTCAATTTTTTCCTTTCAACAACATCTTAATAAGCATTGGGCCACATGTTTTGATATTTGACTGATCTATTCCCAAGATGAAACCAGACAAAGTTTGCAAAAAAAAATTACCTTGATCTATATTCAAGGTCACAGGGGTCAAATTGGTTAAAGCCTTTAAACGTTTTTTTCTCATGAACTAAAAGGCCTTGTGGCATGATATATGGATGGTATGTTCCTATAATGTAGCTGTACAAAGTCTTGCAAAACAAATTATCTTGACTCATATTCAAGGTCACAGGGGTCAACTTTGTTTAAATCTTTAAACAACTTCTCATGAACTAAATGGCCTTGAGGAATAATATTTGGCTGGTATGGTCCTAGGATGAAGCTTGACGAAGTTTCCACAAAGAAGTGAACCTGACCAATATTCAAGTCGCAGGGGTCAAATTTCTTAAAACATTTAAACAACTTCTTCTCATGTACTAAAAAGCCTAGAGGCATAATATTTGACTGGTATGTAGTCCGACAAAGTTTGGAAAAATAACAGTATACAAAGAAGCCAATGTTGCTTAATAATTTACATTATTTGTAAGTTAGGGTTGACCAGATGAAGGCATAATTCAATATAAAGTTAATTGAATGTTATGTCTGAGGATTATTTTTTTTTTTACATAAGTGGTTATCTATACATGTACTTCTTACTGAAATGGAGTTCTTACCGATTTTTGTTAATTTGTGGGCTGCAAATGTACATTGTATATTGCTCTATTGCTAAGATACTTTTCTTGGGTAGGCCTAACTATAAGAGTGCTTGTTATGATTGACAAAATGGACAATTCCTAAAAAAGGAATATTTTCTTTTTTTTTTATAACCTTTCTAAAATCGTTACCACAAAAAAAAAGGAAATTTAGAATTTTCATACATCTTAAAGACGATGTTGTGTTATTTCTATATATCAAAGGTATGCTAATTGACTTAAAGAAATGCGCAGCTGGATCATTTTTTTTTTGTTTTTTTTTTGGAGGGGGGGTTGGGGGTGTCTCTCTATTCTTCCCATTTTCTGTTCTATTTGTCTTCTTTTGCTCTTCCACTTCCAAAACTGATACTTGACTGCCAACTTGTTGATTCACAAGGTAACAGTTTTCCTAAGTTTATAAAACATTTCTTCCGAATCTTTCTTGTAATGTTTCATTATATAAAATGTTGTTGTAAAAATAGAATATTAACTTACTAAACAGAAAAAATTTAATCAGATATTAATTTTAATATGAACATACAGAAAAGGTTTAACTCTGTTCATGATTTTCAATGGAAATAGTTCTTATATTCTGCAATATTTATTCAAAAGTTTCAAATTCAATTTAATTTGTCTTAAAAAAGTAATACCTCTGTTGAATATGTAAATAATTTGTATTCCCGTGTTTGATACAAGTAACTGGGATGTCTTATACTTGTGTCAGATACAAACACAGGGACTTGGTACCAATTCCCATTCCTATGATATGTGTCTATAGACCGTGAGTCGGGACTTTGTGCAAAGTCATAGTTTCTACCTTTTAATAAGTGCACATAGGAAAATGGAGCAATATATATATATATATATATATAACACTACCACTGAAGCAGCGAGAAGCAGACCACGAGGATAACACACGGTAAGAAAATCCCTAGAACTACCTGCCAAAGAGCTGTCATAAGTCTAGACCTTATACTGTTGTTTCTATAGGTTCACAAACAGTTCAGAAATACCGAGTTTGTAGATATAAACATTTCACATATCTATAATGTCATAAATGTATGCCTGGTACCTCTGAGCATAAATATAACATTTATAGACAAATTTATATAGAAAATGGATTCACAAGGTGTTGTTGTAATCTTAGTCCCCTATTATTCTAATCTGGCTGTCAGAAATCAGGTGTATTAATTTTACAGATATATGGAATCCGAATAGGTAATCTCACTAAAATAAAGAGATATCGCCTACTGATTTTAGTTACATCACCTATTCATTGTTATAGTGATATCACCTTTTTCAATATGTTTCTATCACCTATTCATTTTTGTCTCAGGTAGATGTGTCCATCACATGTCCTGTAATATCAGCCACCCAGACAGATGTGTCCATCACATGTTGTGTAATATCAGCCACCCAGACAGATGTGTCCATCACATGTTGTGTAATATCAGCCACCCAGACAGATGTGTCCATCACATGTCCTGTAATATCAACCACCCAGACAGATGTGTCCATCACATGTTGTGTAATATCAGCCACCCAGATAGATGTGTCCATCACATGTCCTGTAATATCAACCACCCAGACAGATGTGTCCATCACATGTCCTGTAATATCAACCACCCAGACAGATGTGTCCATCACATGTCCTGTAATATCAACCACCCAGACAGATGTGTCCATCACATGTCTTGTAATATCAACCACCCAGACAGATGTGTCCATCACATGTTGTGTAATATCAGCCACCCGAACAGATGTATCTATCACATGTCCTGTAATATCAACCACCCAGACAGATGTATCTATCACATGTCCTGTAATATCAACCACCCAGACAGATGTGTCCATCACATGTCCTGTAATATCAACCACCCAGACAGATGTGTCCATCACATGTCCTGTAATATCAACCACCCAGACAGATGTGTCCATCACATGTCCTGTAATATCAACCACCCAAACTGCTGTATCTATCACATGTCCTGTAATATCAACCACCCTGACAGATGTGTCCATCACATGTCCTGTAATATCAACCACCCAGATAGATGTGTCCATCACATGTCCTATAATATCAACCACCCAGACAGATGTGTCCATCACATGTCCTGTAATATCAACCACCCAGACAGATGTATCTATCACATGTCCTGTAATATCAACCACCCAGACAGATGTGTCCATCACATGTCCTGTAATATCAACCACCCAGATAGATGTGTCCATCACATGTCCTATAATATCAACCACCCAGACAGATGTGTCCATCACATGTCCTGTAATATCAACCACCCAGACAGATGTGTCCATCACATGTCCTGTAATATCAACCACCCAGACAGATGTGTCCATCACATATCCTGTAATATCAACCACCCAGACAGATGTGTCCATCACATGTCCTGTAATATCAACCACCCAGACAGATGTGTCCATCACATGTTGTGTAATATCAACCACCCTTGCAGATGTGTCCATCACATGTCCTGTAATATCAACCACCCAGACAGATGTGTCCATCACATGTCCTGTAATATCAACCACCCAGACAGATGTGTCCATCACATGTTGTGTAATATCAGCCACCCAGACAGATGTGTCCATCACATGTTGTGTAATATCAGCCACCCAGACAGATGTGTCCATCACATGTTGTGTAATATCAACCACCCAGACAGATGTGTCCATCACATGTTGTGTAATATCAGCCACCCAGACAGATGTGTCCATCACATTTTGTGTAATATCAACCACCCAGGCAGATGTGTCCATCACATGTTCTGTAATATCAACCACCCAGGCAGATGTGTCCATCACATGTCCTGTAATATCAACCACCCAGACAGATGTGTCCATCACATGTCCTGTAATATCAACCACCCAGACAGATGTGTCCATCACATGTCCTGTAATATCAACCACCCAGACAGATGTGTCCATCACATGTCCTGTAATATCAACCACCCAGACAGATGTGTCCATCACATGTCCTGTAATATCAACCACCCAGGCAGATGTGTCCATCACATGTCCTGTAATATCAACCACCCAGACAGATGTGTCCATCACATGTCCTGTAATATCAACCACCCTGACAGATGTGTCCACCACATGTCCTGTAATATCAGCCACCCAGACAGATGTGTCCATCACATGTCCTGTAATATCAACCACCCAGACAGATGTGTCCATCACATGTCCTGTAATATCAACCACCCAGACAGATGTGTCCATCACATGTTCTGTAATATTCAACCACCCGTACAGATGTGTCCATCACATGTCCTGTAATATCAACCACCCAGACAGATGTGTCCATCACATGTCCTGTAATATCAACCACCCAGACAGATGTGTCCATCACATGTCCTGTAATATCAACCACCCTGACAGATGTGTCCATCAGATGTTGTGTAATATCAACCACCCAGACAGATGTGTCCATCACATTTTGTGTAATAAAACTTATATAATAATAAAACATAATAATCAGGAACCCTCTTTTTTTCCCTCACAAACTCAACACAACTTTACAAGAAAGAGGATTTCTGTAAACATACATATTTGACACAATCAAATTATACTGCATTATCAATTATGACTAAATAAGCACATCGATGCACATTATCAATGATTCCAATGTTGATGACATACAGAAACTGCAATTAAAGACATTCATATTTCAGCACAACAGTTTTAGTTCAAAATAGCAAGAAAATAAGATTACTGCTAAAAGATGTATGTTGACAGTATGTCAATAAATTTGCGTTTGATATAAACTTAAACAATTCTTAAATGAAACAGTAAACATTTTAATTTAATTCACAGCAAATTGTTTTGGTATCAAAAGACAATTCAAATTACATATTGACATAGAATTCTGAGTGAAGGAAGGATACATGTACATTGTATGACAAGGATGTTAGGCTCTTATTAAACTTTGGCATAACAATTAAACAAAAGGCCCCCATCCTCTGTAACAAGACAGCAAGACCATAATCCAGTATATGAAGCCTTGACTTGTTAAAATATAGAAGAAAAGAAATTTTGGTGGATGTACAATCCATCAGGACACTGATTTATGCTGCAGTCTAGATAATCATTTGTGTTAAATATTTATGAAATAAGGTATGGAATACCAGATGATGCCATACCAGAATATTAGGTCTAGCCATGACTGTTTTTATAACAATTATGGTTCCAATGACAACAGATTTCATGAAATAAAAAACAAATAAAAAGAGGACTTCTTTGACAAGTAACACAAATCTGGCAATGGTTATCATATCCACTTTGTTTTCCCAATAGAACACCCTGAACTAATTTTTTCCATCAAAATCCAATTTTATATCTGAAATCAATCTGGGTCCATTATCCATGAAAGAAACGCCACTACGCAACACATGTGTCAAAAATATTATAACCAGTTCCTCTTCTACTGCTGAAGGACATCACCCCACACTCCACTAAAGGTTTCACTCCATTTACAGGAACACAAATCTTGTCCAATTGGTCACAGATATCACGGAAAATCTTCTTACTGGATACCACATCTCTGGGATCAATGTCTTTGAAAAACACAACCTTAAACATAGTTATACACCTGATTTACCTGTTCACGTAGTTAATTTTAATTCTTATCTCACTGTATTACATATTTTCATTGGGCTCAATTTTTGTGAATTGAAAAAAAACCTTTTTCATGATCATTTGATTTTATGGATAGATATAACCTGATTACTTATACTTATTTAAACAAACGAATGCAGACTTTGAAAAATCAATAAATTAAACATGAATACACATTTAAGCATTCATAAAATTCATTAAACAAATTGAAGTTTATCTTGTATGATGGTTAGATAGATTGAATTCTATTTTCCCTTCTTGCGGCAAAAGGTTGGTGTGCAGAAGGGGCATTATAAGATACAGCTTAACAAAATGATAAATTTCTTTGAAAAAAAACAAAAATATTATCATTATTTCTGATAGTCCATAAGTATATTGGATTAGGTATTGGTGTATTTTTACCGCTTCTTCTTTCCAAAGATTTGCCTGTATCCATCCTGTGTTGTCCCGGATCAACAACCTCAACATGAAGGTGTATATGAGGTCAACAGTCCTACCTGGTGGACACAGAATACAAGAATACACAAGAAAACAGTTAGTTAGAGACATTTACCATGGAAAGAGATGGACTAAGCACGTAAAGAAAATAAACTTAGAAAAACATTGACCATTACATTCTTGGCCTGAAGAGAAACTAGCATTGTAAGCTTGGAAAGAAGAGATCAAACACAAGTTATATAGACTATGGTACAGAAATCACTTTTATGCTGAAGCACCTTTACAGATAGAATGGAAAAAGTTGTTCCAGATGCTTTTAAACACTGGTTGGGTAAAAAGAGATTGATTTGTAGAATGATGCTTACATGTGGGACATTTGTAGTACTGTATCCCTGCCTGGATATAGCTCACTTCCATCTCTGGATCATGACTGTTGAGGAAAAGTTCATCACTAAGTCATCAAATTGAAGATGAATACCTTCATAATGGGAATTACATACATCAGTATATTATTGGACTGTAAGAGGCACAATGAGGATTGAGCACACCTCTGTCTGTTCTTACTGATATCATCACCTACTACAATGAATTCAGCTGGGAAACATACGACAAGGTAGCAGCTATAATATATATAACTAGATAAACTAGAATTATTAAGAATCAATTATAATAGACCTACATAATATTTAGACAGGTAAGATTGCAACAAATGATATCAAAATTGTATACCTTTATAATTTGCAACGTTGAGTTCCTGACAAAAGAGTACTACTACAGTTAACACGAAAGTCTGAATAAATCACTTTTTAAGGTGTAGCCTTTTAAGACAAGGTTTTTTTGGAAGATCCTTTCAAAATCATGATCTTATTAAAATGCTAGAATCACCCAAATGTTTCTTTTTCTTTTCGCTTTTTCATCTGTTTTCAAAAATTTCAAAATAAATGTTTGGATCTGAATGCAGTTTAGTCAAAGTAATGTTCAAACAACACGGAACATCCTCTAAATACTGTTGTGATCGGTGTAAAGAGGGAAAGATCTTTTTCCTTGATGACCAATTAAAACAACCTGTTACCTTTGATTTTGAAAGGCTAGGACCAGATACTAGTTTGCAAAACTTGGTGACATAAAAGTTTCAAATACAAGTTTCTTTACATATTCACAATTTATTTTCAGGTATTTCAAGAAGAATAAGGAAATCAAGACATGAAATTTACCTGAAACATTTTTTTAAATATACTTTTCCTGATATCTTAGATAACAAAATTGAGTTTGGATCATTAATTTTACATGGTAATTTAAATCTTACCTAGTGGATGATGATGGTTCTTCATTGTTACCACCAGCTACTTTTGGCAAAGAAACACTGAAGTGAGAAAAAATACCAAACCAGTATGACTCTGTCGTTTAACTTCTTGTTACTGTTTTACTAAGTTTACATTTATTCCTTACATTCATCTCAAATTTTTTACATGTTTACTGAAATAAATTATCTGACAACATGAAACATCTTGCTGAAACTTTACGGGATCTGTAAGGAAACCAATGGAACAATTCATTTGAGGACATTAATTGGTTCGTTGATTAGATATGTTGATAAAACTATTGGGAATCTATGCAATATAAACTTCACATACTTTACAACAACTGCCAAATAAGCTGATATCAATCATCAATAATGGCTGAGATTGAAGAGCACGAGGGATATTACTTGGGGAGGAAACCTTTCTTCATGTTTCCTATTAGGAACTCTACAGGTCTCAACAACTTCAAATAGACTGGTCTACAGTTACAATCAAACCATACATTGTTAGAAAATCTCTCACAAATGACAGTGTGTAGATTTAATATTTACTAGTTATTCTCAAATTATCAAACTTCACACCCATGAACATATCGAAATGACACAATGCTTGATCTAGACACCTGTAGCAGATAAAAATGGCAGTCTCAAAACAATTTGGGTTTGGACAGGTTCCCAAGTACCATCGAAATTAATACATTGGTCCATAGCAGTAATATGTTGAGACAGATTTCACAATACTGTATGAAATATTGGTCCCTGAAGGTGTTTGATAAAGATTTCACAATACTGTATGAAATATTGGTCCCTATTTCACAATACTGTATGAAATATTTGTCCCTGAAGATGTTTGGTAATGACAGATTTCACAATACTGTATGAAATACTGGTTCCTAAGCAGACAAATTTCATGACACTCTACAAAATATGGGTCCCTAAAGATGTTTGATCGACAGATTTCACGAGACAAATTTTATAGCAGTGTGAGAAACTTACAGGTAGTGACACTGTAAACAGTAGAGCCTCACCAGGTCTTCAGGTGTCTGGATGGGACATGGGAAATAATCCTCAATTCTGCCTAGAATCCGGAACTTGTATGGAACAGAGTGTGATTCAATGTCTTGAATGCTGGTCACCTGTACATGTGGATGGTTCAGAACAACTGCAATCAGAAAATTCCCTATAAAGCTTTCCCCATAGCTTGAGAAAAAATATTCTAAAAAAAGATCTAATTTAGCATATTAATGAAATGTTTAAATATCCTGATTAGTCAGGTTTATTAGCTATACATTTGTACAAGGTTGATAATCTCTACCAGCCAAGCTAAAAAAAACACGCTAGCTCAGTTGAATATGAGACATTATTCAACACAGTATACAAGCTAAACTCACATCCTTCTTTCACACTTAATTCTGATAACAGTTATACAATCCTAACCCGATGAAATACCTGTTTCTGTCTGTAGCATACATCTGTCCACACATTCTAGAGGAGTTGACTGGTTATGAGGTGTGTCACATGATAATTCCAAAGACGACTGATCAGACGTAATATCAGATTGGTCACAGTTTTGTGTGGCATTCCCTACTTTAAAACTTGATCTTGTCCGTTTTCTGACACTTTGTAGATCATCATCTGCAACTGCCATCCTTTTTCTGCTATTAATGTCATGTGGAGTAGAACTATTTACTATATTTTCCTGAACACTCTGTTCCTCCATGGCATCACTACTTATCCCTGGCTCTTTCATTGATCCCTCAAAAAGGTCTATTGCCTCAGGATCATCTAAATCCCCAATGGGTGGAGCTACTATATCCAAAGTGTCAATCAATGTCAAAACGTCGGGTGACTCCACATCCATGACTTTTAGGCCTCGCCCATACGAGGTGCCTCTATGAATTACTAATTCCAGACTAGGCAGGGCAGACAGGTTGTCCCTTGCTGACGTGGTTTTCAAAATGGCTGCGTGAAGATTGCAAAGCTTAATGAACTGTCCCGGCTGTAAAATGAAAGAGGTACTTTTCATATTGAATGTTTAAATTCTTAAATAGGGGATCTGGTATTTTCCAAAGAGATTCAAGTAATTTGTTCAAATCAACTACTTCACTATTTTTACCATATATATACAGCCTGTATTTATCTGAATTGAATATGTACATGCATTTTGTTGGGCTTTTAAAAATTCTACTTATATAATCTTACCTGCATTAATTTTGCATGTAAAAACCTCGCCTATCTTAATTTCACCTTAACATACTCGTCTCTTGCATTATCTGTAGAGTTGTGTGTCACCTGACCTGTGTAACTCTCACCTGTGTAACTCTCACCTGTGTAACTCTCATTCATATCAGTCTCACCTGTATAAATCTTACCTGTATTTTGACTGCAGAGACACTATGATCATCATACAGAGCCACATCCACAGCTAGGTCCTTTGCCCTGGCATTCAGTTGTAAATCAGTGCTCCTGACATGGGTGTTAGGTTCAGCTTCCATTTCTCTTATCATACTGACAAGATAGAGTACAATGTTCCCTCACTATCATTACAAAATTTACAAATTATGTTACAATACTTTTTCATCAAAAAAAAAAGAAAACCATTATTTTTCTGTACAATTTAAGTCTAAGCACTGCCCTACTATATCCTATATGCTGATACCTTTTATCAAAATTAATGAAGTAGTTTTTGTATTGTCTGGACACAGACGCATGTACCGACACTGACACATTTACATAATGATTTGTATTATCCCACATTCTAAACACTGATGTATTTACATACTAAATAGTTTTAGTATTGTTCCATATTCTGAACACTGAGACTTTTACTTAATAAGTAGTTTCTGGGTTGTTTCATATCCTGAACATTGGCACATGATAAACAGTTTTGGAATCTCTCCACATCCTGAACATAGACAAGTTTACATAATAAATAGTTCTGATATCGTCCCATTTCCTGAACACTGACACATTAACTTATTAAATGGTTTGGTATCATCCCACATCTTAAACATTGACAGATTTACTTACTAAATGGTTTTAGTACCATCCCACATCTTTAACATTGACAGATTTACTTACTAAATGGTTTTAGTACCGTCCCACATCTTAAACATTGACAGATTTACTTACTAAATGGTTTTAGTACCGTCCCACATCTTAAACATTGACAGATTTACTTACTAAATGGATTTAGTACCGTCCAACATCTTTAATATTGACAGATTTACTTACTAAATGGTTTTAGTACCGTCCCACATCTTTAACATTGACAGATTTACTTACTAAATGGTTTTAGTACCGTCCCACATCTTTAACATTGACAGATTTACTTACTAAATGGTTTTAGTACCGTCCCACATCTTTAATATTGACACAAGTATTTACTTACTAAATGGTTTTAGTACCGTACAACATCTTAAACATTGACAGATTTACTTACTAAATGGTTTTAGTACCGTCCCACATCTTTAACATTGACAGATTTACTTACTAAATGGTTTTAGTACCGTCCCACATCTTTAACATTGACAGATTTACTTACTAAATGGTTTTAGTACCGTCCAACATCTTTAACATTGACAGATTTACTTACTAAATGGTTTTAGTACCGTCCCATACTCTGAATGTCACACAAGTATCATCTACTACTTGTACTGAGATAACCTACAACAAAAATAAAACTTAGGATTAATTAAGCCATGTCAGTGATATATCACCAACGCCTTTTTTAGGTCACATGGGCTGGCAGGATCACTTGGACAACCATGGGCCCCTAAGGCTAGCAGGACACATCGTAATGATAAGGTCATTATTGAAGCATGAGTGCATTCATCTCTTATGTCCAACAGTTGATACGGTACCTCTCTTGGAGCAACCACTTAAGCCTGGAAATGTTTTCAGATGGCATTCACTGGCTATGAATATCAACAGTATAAAGGCAACAATTTAAACAGAAAGCATGTTATTACCAGTATCACTTTAATCCACATGTGCGCTATTAAAGCCACAGAATTCATAAAACATACAATTTCTTAGTCTTAGTTGTTGTTTTTATTCCCTACATATAATTGTTGCGATATTTATTGTCAACTTTTCTACGACAGTCTTAGTTGTTGCTTTTATTCCCTACATACAATTGTTGCGATATTTATTGTCAACTTTTCTATGACAGTCTTAGTTGTTGCTTTTATTCCCTACATATAATTGTTGCGATATTTATTGTCAACTTTTCTACGACAGTCTTAGTTGTTGTTTTTATTCCCTACATATAATTGTTGCGATATTTATTGTCAACTTTTCTACGACAGTCTTAGTTGTTGTTTTTATTCCCTACATACAATTGTTGCGATATTTATTGTCAACTTTTCTACGACAGTCTTAGTTGTTGTTTTTATTCCCTACATATAATTGTTGCGATATTTATTGTCAACTTTTCTACGACAGTCTTAGTTGTTGCTTTTATTCCCTACATATAATTGTTGCGATATTTATTGTCAACTTTTCTATGACAGTCTTAGTTGTTGCTTTTATTCCCTACATATAATTGTTGCGATATTTATTGTCAACTTTTCTACGACAGTCTTAGTTGTTGTTTTTATTCCCTACATATAATTGTTGCGATATTTATTGTCAACTTTTCTACGACAGTCTTAGTTGTTGTTTTTATTCCCTACATATAATTGTTGCGATATTTATTGTCAACTTTTCTACGACAGTCTTAGTTGTTGTTTTTATTCCCTACATATAATTGTTGCGATATTTATTGTCAACTTTTCTACGACAGTCTTAGTTGTTGCTTTTATTCCCTACATATAATTGTTGCGATATTTATTGTCAACTTTTCTACGACAGTCTTAGTTGTTGTTTTTATTTCCTACATATAATTGTTGCGATATTTATTGTCAACTTTTCTACGACAGTCTTAGTTGTTGCTTTTATTCCCTACATACAATTGTTGCGATATTTATTGTCAACTTTTCTACGACAGTCTTAGTTGTTGCTTTTATTCCCTACATATAATTGTTGCGATATTTATTGTCAACTTTTCTACGACAGTCTTAGTTGTTGCTTTTATTCCCTACATACAATTGTTGCGATATTTATTGTCAACTTTTCTACGACAGTCTTAGTTGTTGCTTTTATTCCCTACATACAATTGTTGCGATATTTATTGTCAACTTTTCTACGACAGTCTTAGTTGTTACTTTTATTCCCTACATATAATTGTTGCGACATTTATTGTCAACTTTTCTACGACAGTCTTAGTTGTTGTTTTTATTCCCTACATATAATTGTTGCGATATTTATTGTCAACTTTTCTACGACAGTCTTAGTTGTTACTTTTATTCCCTACATATAATTGTTGCGATATTTATTGTCATCTTTTCTACGACAGTCTGTTAATAAGCAAATTTAACACAATTAAACAGTGAAAGATTATTTAGTGAAAAATGTTAATTTGCAATCATTATTTTCTGCTCTGTATTTACCTGACATAATAAATCTAAATACAGTCCTGGAACTATGTCCTCAATTTGTTTCTTTCTGTTTTTCTCCTCTTGACTCCACTCCTTTTCATCTCCTTCTCGCCAGCACCTCAACTCCTCAACCTTAACAAAAACATCATGAAGAGAAAACAGGTGACATTTCAGAAAAGTTATTTGTGAAACTTTTAACATGCACATAAATCCAATATTGTCCTACTTTGTTATAACTGTGTTGTGCTTAATCAGCTCGATATTATCCAATATAATGTTCATGTGTATGAATGGATATAAATTATATCAAATAAGCAATGTGTTGGCTTCCTCACAAATACTATAGACAGCTACAGTATCTAAATCTTGAAACAAGTACAACTTCTTGAAATTCATTATCTATTTTATGGCAATCTTATTTTGATTGGAAACTTGCATTTTCACTAATTTCACTAAAATCAGCTTTTTAGAAAGTGACTTTATGATTAAAGAGGTTTAAACATCAGGGGCATAGCTTCCATAGAAAGAAAAAGCCCGGGCTTACACATAAAAAAATCTGTGCATAGAGTATGTCGTACAAAATTACAAAACTAAGGTTGAAAATAAATATCAGGCCCCAAAACTCCTCACCTGGGCCTACACATTTCTAATGGGCTAGCTACACCCCTGAACATGAAACACAGATATAAACCCTTGAAATCAAACACTTGGTTTTTCAAATTTTGGTTACCTTTTCTGTGTCTTTTTCAGTGAAAGAGTACTTATTGGATGAAGCTTTTGGTTCTATCGGGTCGCCTGCTACTCCACTGACACGTAACCATGAAAATCCAGGACTATTTTGTCCCTGTAGCTCTCCATTGTACATAGACACCTGTATATACCAGTAAAACACTTGTAGACATAAACCTTAAGTTTGAAGATGTGGATATGTTTGAGTATATTAAGTATATTAAATGTTTGGTACCTAACATCTAAACAAGGGACTTTCGTTTGTATGGTACCTTAAATATCTGGAAGTACGTAAATTGCATTTGTGTACAGTCTGTATTTTATTAATGTTCTACCTTAAGTCTATGGAAGCGAATGATATCTCCTACATCTACAGCAGGTAGCTGGGCTTCCTCTCGATGGAACAAAAGACACTTAAGCTTCTTGTCTGTACCCAAGTCACACAGACTGGGGTCAACCAAGGTCACCAGCATATTGTAGTCTGGGGAAACCAAGTATAAAATAGTGGCTTATAATGTCTGAACTGGCAGGAAACAAAAACACATTCAAAACTTCACATGAACTATATATACATGTATATGTTTCTGTACAGTTATCAACATTGCACAGTAAAATATTAAGACAACTGGTATAATTACAATACCCCACCAAAATTGTGAAATTATATACAAAACAAACTTTTTCTTCAATATCTCAGAATGACCTGCTTTTAATTCAGGACACACCACCTCACCAAAGTGGACCCATTACCCCAAGTATGACGTTCCAGTGAGTGGTTGTTGTGGTCGTTTAGGTGATAGAGCATGAACAAACCTTTTCTGTGATGTAAATAGTCAAAATGTAGGTAAAAAAGAACTCCTTTTTATACATAACACACCACCTCACCAAGGAGAACTTATTCCCAAGTTCCACTGACTAGTAGTGTAGGAAATATGGTCAGGACAAGAGAGAGGAAGAATGGATGGAAGGACAGAATGACTACAGGATGGAAGTATGAAGTTCCAATGACTGATAGTGTAGGAGTGATAGAGCCTGGACAAACATTATTTGATGTACAAGAAAGAAGGCTGGACAAAACAGAAGAAAGATGGGCAGACACAGTTCCCTCCCCCTCCCACAGCTCTCAGAGGGGGACTAATAATAGATACCCTTGATTATATCTACTGTCTACCACATGAAACAAGAAAAAGTTAACACTCAGAATGCACTGTACAGCCAGAATGAATTCCCTTGATTACTTTAAAGTATACATACCACTTCCCCTTGTCTTACTCGGGCACTTGAAGAACTTTACCACTCCATAAACATCAACTATTGTGTTAGGTTTGAGGGAGCTGAGCTGGGAATAGCTGTACATCTTCTTTGGAGAATATGCCTTTTTAGTCTGTGTGTATAACAACAATGTTTTAAAATAATAAAAAGATGTTATTTCTAATCAGTTAAATAACAGTTTAATCCAACTAAGACTACTTCATTTTGCAAATGTTTATTTTAAATGGTAAGCTATCAGAGAGCTATTCTACTGATATAAGCAGAGGTAATTGGGACGATTCTCAACAGATCTCATTCATCTCAAGAGGACCTCATTATAATTAAAACAAAATCAAATATTTAAATAAATCATAAGTTAAACTTAATTTCGTAACTTTATTACCGTAGTTGCACTTGATGTCTGTCCATCTGTTGTATTGTTTTTAGACCTGTGACTGTTCACAGCTACAGAAGTGGACGGTTCCTGAGAATCGATGATCTCTGTTTCTGGCTCTATGTACTGAATTTGGTTTGTTTAAATGGTTTTGTGTATGTGGTATGGTTAGTAATATAAACACATTTTGCTGATAAAAGTAGGAGAAATTACTTGTTTGGCACATAACTAACAGCTAAAACAGCATCATTTAAAGCTGAATCAGCAAGAGGTGACTTAATATCATCTTCCATACATTCCTTCGGTCTTTAGATCATTGTATAATTAAACAAGACTTCAACGATATCAATACAAAATACCAAATTAAACAGGTTATCAATTTTATTTTATTTTCTTCTTTCAATAGTATACACTTACATGCTATAACACTTAAAATTGACCTTGATGATAATTCCATTAATCTTACAGTATTCTTTTAAGTAAACCATAATTACAAATACTCTAGCCTTGACATAATGGTCTATCTATCATCCTGTCTCACTCACCCAAATCTTAGCACCACTCATCTGTTCATCCACCACAAGCTGACAAGGATGTGAGGGGGGCTGAATACGAGAATTCTCCTCTATCGTAAACCCACTCAGTACCAGGGTGAACTGCAATACAAGGGGGATAATTCAGCAAGGGTGACATCCCATCAAGGGAGAAACACAGCCAAAAAAAGAAAGACCTCTCAAGTGAAGAAATTCAAGTCCCACAGGCCTTAATGGTCATCTGAGTAACAATGATGTTATTGTTCATAGCAATAATCTTGTTAACATGGTAAAATAACTTAAACTACATTGTACATGTGATGCAAATGTAAACTGCATGTGCATAACATTACCTGCCATTCCATGATAAGGCTTCTTATCAAATTTTAATCAAAAGACATTTAGAATATATAAATTCTAAAAAACATAATAATAGACTTTTGGAATATGAGTAAATTTGACCCCTTTTGGCCCCATCCATCAACCCCTGGGAGATCAGCCTGGGTCAATATGTGTCTATCATATCATCCTATACTAATAACAATGCAGGATGTATACTGCACAATGCCAGACAAAACATAATAGCAATTGGTCACTATGAGATATCATCTCAGGTGACCACCAAAAATCAAGGGCCGTCAGAGATGGGTTTTGTTCCCCGAATGGGACAAAATTTAAGTATGAAAAATAACAAAGGGCAATTAGAGAATTATGATTCTTGTGCACTGCCCTCCTCCTCATTGAGATCTATTTACCTATGAAGTTTCATGTTAATACCTTTTATCGTTTTAGTGTAATGCTCCAGACAAAATTTTAAGTATGAAAAATAACAATTGGTAATAACTTCTAAATTATGCAACAGAGAGTGATGGTTCTGGTGTACACTTCTCTTTGTTGGGATTTATCTACCTCTGAAGTTTCATGTCTATAATTTTATAGTTTTAGTGTAATGCTCCGGACAAAATTTAAGTATGAAAAATAACAAAGGGAATTAACTCCTAAATTATGCAAAAGAGAGGGATGGTTCTGGTGTACACTTCTCTTTGTTGAGATTTATCTACTGAACCTATGAAGTTCCATGTTAATACCTCCTAAAATTTCTGGGTTATGCTCCGTACAAAATTATGACTGATGGACAAACGGACAGACAAAGCAATGACTTTATGCCCTTCCTTTGGGAGCAATGCAGAACACAACATCATGTATCAGTAAATCATTTTCTTGTGTCAATCCTAAATAACCAGGTAAATGTACCCCTAGAGCATCAATGTCTTTAAATGATCAAGACAATTAGCATTTGTAGGGAAGTTCATCAGACATGAGCTTGTTTAGTGGTGCAATATGGTTAGTTACAGTATATTCTAGTAGCTAATCTGGTTGTCACAAAGATTTCAGTCAATGATTTGCTAATAATCATATGTAATTTGAAATCAGTTATAATGCAAAACACAGTATCAAACTTACAATTTGAAACTGTTAATGACAGGAAGTACTTACATCTCTCTGTATTGCATTCATCTCCTTAGCAATGGAGCCAGTCACAAAAATCTTGATTTGGTTTAAGGAATCATCTTCACCTTTATTAAAAATTCAACAAAGTAGAAGTGAAAAAAACACAAACTTACTAGTATTTTAACAAATATTACCAAGTAAATGGCTTCTACATTTATAACATGTCATGTGAAACTGAAACGTTTAAAGATGAGTTATCATTTTCAAAACAGAAAAATGAAAATATTCAAACATATTAATGTTAAAAAAAAAAAATTCAACGTACATATTCACTATAAAACTGTTCATGTATTTACGATAATTTGAAAACTGGTTAGTAGCTGCATGGTTTATAGGTTTATAAGTACAAGCCATACTTTATCATTATCATCTATATGTAATGTCATACCATCTTGAAGACAAATTCTCAAGTAATCAAACCATTTGTTTTTCTGTAATTGCGATCGCTCCTTTACTTTTCCCTAAAAAGAAAAAAAGAAGGGGTAAGGGGTTTAAATGTATTTTGTCAACATCTTCAGGAAATATAAGTGTATGCACTATCATGCACAGGCCTCAATATGTCCACAACTTAATAAGAAGTAGGTATCAAACAATGACCATATATACAAGGTTACTTGCATTGTGTATCAATTCCCCAGGGAACTAAACAACCAATAAACCCCATATAGGTCCCAAACATGGTTCTGTGTGTATTTTACAGCTTTGAACTTTGTCAGATGTACTTATTTACCAGAATGCAAGAAGTTAGGTGATGCCAGGAGAGGTGTGGAATTACATAAAGTATAGTCATTGTTAAAGTGAACAGTTTACACAGTGGCAAAAAGTAATGAAGACTTACATATATGGATACTAAAAGCATTCCAGCACCAGCACCTTACTAACAATTAAACACTGACTGAAAACTGTATAAGTACCTGTATGTAACACCTGCTTGGGTCTGTATCCAGCTTCAGTTCTTTTAGTTTCAATATCTTCAGGTTGCTTGGTATTTTTTTATGAATATCAGAAACCTTGCACTGTAACCTTTCCATGATTACTGATGACTGAATTCAAACTTTCGTCAAAGTTTCATGGATGTATCTTCAGCATATATAGCACCTGTAATGACAATTAATATTTAAAGGTAGTATATAATCAAGTGTCTACTACTGATGACATCGTTTTTGTATGTGTGATAAGTCTGAAATTTCCATAAGTTGATATCAGCTTGGGTGATATCAGACACTGTGAGTGATATAACACCCCTTGAAAGTGAATATACACCCCTTTCAAATGATATCACCCCCTCCCTACACCCTTCCCTCCCCCCACATCCCATTCCCATTCAAATTTCGAAATTGGTTTCCTTTATTAGTGATACACCTCCAGCTGTCGCATAGACAGCTAAAGCATGGTGACTAGGACTAATAATGGCACCACAATTTTAGAACTTGTGGCAAAAATTGTGTAGTTTGACGAGTTGTTTTTTTTTTTTTTATCTTAAAGAAAAAAGCATCATAAAAATACTATTGTATGACAATTTTGATATGACACCTCTAATCAACCCTTAAAATGATCCTATAATTAATTATTATATCTTTATTACTGAAAACACTGATGTGGTATGTATATAAGACGAGAATATTAATCACAACATACTCACATGTTGCCAATAAGCAGGTATTCATTCCATTCTGTTGACTACTTTTCTTCTGTCACAGAGGCTTCATCAGGACAAAAAAGTGGAGATGATGGAGATTCTGTAATATAGATTTATTATCCTTCATCTTTTTGCTATATACTGAATGATTCTCAGCACTTATTGATTAAACAAATATTATGACAACTACATTGTAAACCAGTGTTCATTATTTTTTCTTTAAAGTGTGGTACTATGTTGATCGAGATGCTAATCTGTTCTGTACCGTTCACTATTCTGGGGGTTTTCTTCTCCGAGTTGTTCAGTTGGTTATCCGAGCATATTTTAGTGAGTAATACGAATAGGAAATCAGAGTTCTCTTGTTCCAACATTCTAGGTGATATAAGCTAGTCCCAATCTGGGTAAGTGGGCTCTTCTGATTGATCCAGGCAGTTTTCATAATCTTCGTAAAGTACTTTTTAGCTTAATAACCACTTTTGGCTCCCTTTTGGAGTTTGTTTTTTTATGTGTGATAAGTCTAATATTACACCCCCTTGAAAGTGATGTCATACTCTTGAAGAAGTGATATCACACACCCTCTCAAATTTGTATATTTTGTCACTTCTTATCACTCTATGATTTGAACATAAATATTGTTTGCCTGGAAGAAATGCATTTTATTTCTTTTTCTTTCAAAATATGGATTACAATTGCACCCAAATTTCTAGATGATTCTGTCTCTGGATTCGTTTTCCTTACTAGTGAAACACCTGCTGTTGTTGCCTGTAACATGCACAGCTATGCATGTCGACTAGGACTGACAATGGCAGGCCATTTTAAAAGAACATGTGGCAAGAATTGTTCAAGATTATGGTTTTTCTTTGGTTTGTTTACTTTAAAGAAAAACATACAATAACAGAAAATATCACACGACCGTTTTGATATCACAAACATTATCAGGATTCGAGGTCGATTAGGGATATGACATAATGATAAATAAAAATTATCTCTAAACTTAACGTACCATTTTTGGAAGTTCATGCAGGTATCGAGTATCCATAAATATTAAGCAAAATAAACTTTACCTTCGCTATGTTTGATCATAAAATCAGTATTAATTTCCAAATTAAAACTCACCGCAAATATGCATTTAGTGCACTATATACTGATGTTTATTCAATGTGGCTCCTTTCGTTTTCGTACATTACGTACAGATTCATTGCCGTGTCTAATTTAGCAATACAATACCTGCTAATTATCCTCACCATCTTCAGTTTCTAATTCTACATGATCAAAATAGCAGTACTAAAGCTAGTGATCGATGGAATTGATACCGTCGGCTGATCAAAATGACAACTTAGTAATTTAGGGTTTTTTCCTTTACCATAACCTTAGCGCCATTTTCTTAATCATAGTGACGCTTTGCGAGTCAACTTTACATGCAAACATTCATTCTGCGTGCATATAGACCTACTCTCCACGAATAAATAAAAAAAATCCTTTATTGATTTTTTACTTGAAATAAACATATAACTCGATTGCGAGATATAATCGGATTTTTTATGTAGTTTTTTTTTCGGGAAACAAAACCAATGATTGGTTAAATTATTGTTGTTAGAGACTATCAAAACAAGCATGGCCGACCATGACGCAGTGGCTCAGGTTGAAAATGAAGATGAAAAACAGGAACATGATGTTTTGCCTGCTGATAACGATGACATTGTAGAAGAGGGTAGCCAGGCTGATGCACCTAAGAAGAAGAAAAAGAAGAAGAAAAAGAAAAAGACAGGTTAATAACCTTAATAAATCTATAAGTGGTGATGTAACTGATATGAGACCATCTTGTGGGAGCCAGAGGTTATCAATCATTATCAATCACTAACATGTTCATTGTACTTGACCTTTTATCGTTTTTCTTATACTTGCAAAGAAAAACGCCTTTAAATACAACAAAGCTTAGTAAAACGTTAGAAAATGTCCCAGATTCCCTCATTTGCAGTTTATGAAATCTCCATCTTTTTCTGGTCTGAGAAATTAAAGGATATTGACTTCCGATCCATCTGTTAAAGATGAGTGTGACAGGTTGAAACGAACATATGTGGAATTTAGTATGAGAGAACAAGTTAATTTATTGTTGTAGTGCTAAGACTATACTGGTAATTTGTCTTTATATGATAATTTGATGTCAATATTCACATTTATTATGCTGATATTTACATTTTTATTGACTATAATCATTTTTGAGACAGAACAGAGGTGTTCATAAAAGTGGTAAAAATACACAAACAATGAATGTTGTGGCTTAAACAATTATTCCTACAACACACCTAGAAATATTGGGTTCATTTTATCACAATCCAACTTGCCCTCAAAAAAGTACATCCTTATGATAGAATGAACTGGAGTTCACTTGAAATCAAAAGACATCTCTAGAAAGATTAATGATTCTTCATGAAGCGTTTTACATGAAGCATTTAACATTTGGAATAAATCATTTTTCATGAAGCATTATTCATGTAGCACCAGCTTTACCTATTTCCTACAAGATTATTTCTCTTTATCAGTTAGTCTGCTAAGCACATCAACGTTTATTTTCACCATGCCACAGGCCCATGTTCAATTCCAGTTAAGATGCTTGGCTTGATTGTGAACTTTATTTGATTTTCTTCTCTACAACATTGGCTCTCAATGAAGCTTTGAGTTTTTGGAAATCTGAAGAAAAATTAGGTAGCTTTGAATTATGCAAAGATGTCATTCAATATTGTCATTCTCTCAACTGAAATACGTTTTCACCAAAACGCTATTTTCCAAAACAAAAGTATGCAGCAGTGCCTGGGAAAGATTTTTTTTCAATGGGACAATGGCTTATAATAATCCAAAAACCAATGTGACATTTTCAAAACCTATGTGACATTTTCAAAATCTTATGTGATATATCATAAATTACAATATAATTTACACACATCTTTTATTGAAATCTGAATAATCATCATAAGTTTCACATGATTACATACAGGATTGACATAAAATTGGACTGTGTCCACAAATAAAATTATATCAAATTACACTAGAGATATTTTCAACACAAATTTGTCAAAAATGTGCACCTTTCTCAACATAGAGCCATGGCCAGATTTTCAACCAGTTATCTTGAATTTTCCTAGTTTTCGTAACTTTGACATTTTCAGTTGACGTAAGGATACTGATAGACGGCACATTTTGTGCAGACGGGGACACTAAGTCTTGATCTACAATGAGTGATGAGGTAGATTCATCTGCGACATTTGATTTTTTAATGACGGCTTGTCCATCAGACTCGGGATTGGGCAGTGTTTCCGATGAAACTTGATTGTTTGACATATTTTGACTAGATGACGACTGAAAGAATTAACTGATCGGACCCTGATCAAGTGGTCTCTTTTAATTTCTTTTTAGGTGGCATGCTCAAAATGATTCTTTAAATTCTAGATCTGGAATGTAGATACAGACGATGTTGACTATTTTACCAAGCACACAGATCAGTGACGTCATTGAAATATGTGTAAATCACTTGAGCGCTTGTTTTGAATGAAAGGAGTGAATCAAAGCGTCTGTGTGATTTGGTATTCAAAAAGTTTGTACCCAAAAGATCGTAAAAATTGGAAAGAGACAAGGGTGCATCAGTAGCCAAAATCGATGCAACATTTTCAGTTTTTATGGGACTATGGCGCATGACGCACGCCTTTCCCAGGCACTGATGTAGCAAGGTTTGAACTTCAGTTTTGAACGTACAAGCAATAATTTGCTTGTAGGTTTGAAAGTTACAAGCAAAGTTAAAATCCAACAAGCAAAATAATTTAGCATGAATATTTTATTAGGTTTTTTTGACATCTGACCATGCCATGAATAAAGAATGAAGTGGTATTATGTCAGAAGTCCAAAGTTAATACAAGCTTGAACTCAATGTATACTTAACAGTTCATGGTGTTTGAAATACATTATATGGTTCATGGGGACATCACGAATCTTAAAAATACAGCACTGTTACAGTTTCACTGGTCTCTTTGTCCTCTGTCCACTTATCCAACATAACCCATGTTTACATAAAGTTCTTGTGTCCACTGTTTCAGTGTTTTGAGCTGACATATGATTCCATGCTGCGATGTTTTGATTTTTTCGAGGGGATTTTCAGGTGATCCACCATCACTTCTGGCGACATCAAGGCAGTCGCTTTCATTTGCACCTCCTGTTGCAGATTCTCATTTAAAATAGTCGGTTATTTTAGGCCTGGATGACGACTTTGATGAGTAAAGTAGGCCGCCTACCCTCTAACTTGTGGATTGGGAGACCTTGACCATTGCACATGCACATGACTCAGACTATATATGTTAGCCAATCAGAATAGTGCTACAATCATACCAGGAAATTCTCTTCTCCAACACACTGTGACTGAGTGTCAAACTAACGGGAAGCGAGTGGGACACATTTATGTATTACGAAAATTTGGATTGAGGATGCAAATATTTTCATCCTTTGACCATATTTCAAATGCTAACATGCCAAGAATTAACACATTTTGCGTGTTAGCTTGTGTTAATTTTGAACCTTGATGTAGCCAATTAGACTTACATGATATATATGGGGCTTGTAAAAAAATGGTCTGTTCAATTTTGATAGCATGTCATTATGTTTTAATAATTTGGAAGATAATTGATAAAAGCCTATGATTTGTATTTGTTTCTTACTGAATTGTCAGACATTCGGAACCACACATCAATGTGATGGTATTACGTGTGGATATTGATATTCTTTAAGTTTGAATGATAGAACTTGCTAGTCATTCTTTTGATTGGTTTGTAATGATCCTGGATCCTGGATGAAACTATTATAACCTTTGTTTTCTGGATTGTTGATTATCTCTAGATCTTGTCTAAATAGCTTGTAGATGAGAATAACACATCTCAGTATGTTGCTGGGAAAGCAAGCTGTACAAATCCTATAAACATCAGGCCACTGCTGGTCAGCCAACATATGTAATTTAATTGTACCAAAGATACCTGTCATATATTTATATATATATATTTAGTTGACAAAGATCATCACAATTGTGAGTAGTTTTTTGGTTTTTTATTTATTCAAATATCCAGTCTTACTCAAGAATTCAAAACATTGTGCAATTGTTACAGTTGGACCTGGTATATGAATTATGAAATATATTTCAAAGAATCTTTGTTTTCACTGAAAGATGCTGAAGCTCCTGATGTAGAACAAGACGAAGGATCCAAGAAAGCTGTTAATGACATCGCAGAAAAATTGGAAGGACATACCCTTAATGGAGATGCTGCAGAAGGTCAGTACTATATTAGTTAGGAATTAATTTCAGAACGTAAAAAGTATTTTTGAACTGATAAAGTTACCATATAGCAAAAAGCATGAAACACTTGTTGATAATTTTGTCCATTTAAAAAATACAGATTTGTATTTACAAAATATACCAAATGTGCTTTCCTTACATATTTTATGCCCCTAATTGTTTCTTGGATAAGGACAAAGTTACCCTTGGCCATCATTTTACCACACTGTCATCCTTTGGTTTCAACACATGTTAGTGTATTACAGATAATGAAACTTGTTAGTAACACCATTCTGTCACTCTGCCATAATTTCCTCTTGACTAATTCACTCATTAACAATACAGAACTAATTTGGTATATAGTTGTACAAGAATATGCAGGTCATGTTTTGAATGGGTTTATCCATTTAACTTTAAGAATTGTGATTAAAATTTTCACAAAAACAGGTTGATGAAAGGCAAAACTTCAATCTTTTTTGTAAATCATGAATATACTGTTTTACAAGACCAACAACACAGAAAATTTCCAAACTTCCCTTTGTTGGCTGGCTCCTGGGGCATTTGTGTTGTTCCTGCATCATGTGGAGTATTATAGGAGACGAGTCATACAGGTGACTTAAGTCACGTCACACAAATTTCTTAGATAAAGGCAAAACACATATGATACTGATATATAATTCCTGTCAAGTCAAAATAAATTACAATTAAATTGATGTAATATTGTTAAAAAGTCTCAGGATAGTAAGTAACTATACATATTTGTAGTTTATATAACCTTTGATGTTCACATTAAAATCCCTCTGAGATCTAATACATAACCATGGAATTGATTTAGGCGAAGACCAGACTAGTGGAGAATCTGTGGTCAAGAAGAAGAAGAAAAAGAAGAAGAAGGGTAAAATTGAATTGTAATAATTAGGTTGTTGTTGTCATATGAAACTTTGCATTATTACACTTGTCTGATGTTATGAACAAGTTTCTTGTTTGAATGATTTTAATTTGTCTTATTTCCAGGCTGGACATCTGTATAATCGAACTATGAAATGTGAAAAAACATTTTTTTTAATGTTATTGTAAACTCAGTCATGTTAATTCGGCTTCAATTAATAATGTTCCAATGAACAAGTCTTCAGCTATAATATTATATGGCAAAGTTTTAATTTTTGCTTTTAAATTATAAGCAAGGTTTCAGTTGAGTTGTTAGATTTTTCAAAAAGATCTTAATAAAAATGATGGAGTTTGTAATTTTGTGATACAGGAATAATAAAAATAATTGCTTTAAAAGGAGGAAAACAGCAGACAGATCCCCCATCAATACCAATCTCAGAACTGTTTCCTGATGGTAACTACCCTGAAGGGCAGGTGACAGAATATCCACCATTGAAGGATGAGTAAGTTATCAGACAGTATCTCATATCCCTTTATCTAGAGACAAAAAGATGAACTATCTGATGAACTAATGGGAATTAATGTTTTCAAAGTTCAATATTCCCTGTTTCACTTGAATAATGATTCTTGAAACCCAACTAATATCAGGAACTCATAAACTTTGGCTCCATAATATTATCATTTACTGGAAAGTATTGTATTGTTTAAAAAATTAGTTTGTGGTGGAAAATTTTTTAATGTATGAGTTGCCATGTGAATTTATAGTACTGTTAATGCACAATACTTGTACAGTACTTATCTGAAATGCATGTGAATTTTTCAGCCGAACTGCCAAAGACAGATTCACAAGTGAAGAGAAGAAAGCATTAGATAGAGCTAACATAGAAGTGTACCAAGAAATACGACAGGCAGCAGAAGCTCACAGACAGGTAAACATCCAATCACCAAATCACAAAAATTATCTTAAAAATTCTGAGTGTATGATATGTATAGTTAAAGTTGATTGAAAATATCTGATGATGAGAAGTGTCTGATATGGCATGTTCCTGATATAGCTGGTATCAACTCAATAGATGTTTAGTCAAGTTGAATCAGATGTACAGGGAAATTTCTAGGCATCATTTCATAGTAAATTGTCCAAGTTGATCCCTTCTCCCAGCAAATTATTTTATTTTAGACTGTACATGATACATTGCATGTAATTAAGTAATTCAGCAACTCAAGAAAAGGTAATTGCAGCTTATTTAATAACTTCACTGAATTCTGATATGCTTTAGTATGTATCATGGCAGTAGATATGATTTATCTCCCTTTGATTGCAGACACGAATGTATATGCAGAACTACATAAAACCAGGGATGACAATGATACATATCTGGTAAGTAATCTGCTTTTGATTTTCAGCAGTTTTTAATGATAGGAAGAATCCATACAGTATAATACAGAAAGTGTTACATTACTTGGCATACAAATCTGTTATCTTATTACTTTTAAAACACCAAAAACAAAGCATTTTATTAATCCGTTTCCTTTTGGATGTCTGAGGCAGAAGATCTACAATAGTATTTCCTGATAATTATGTTATTTGTTAGAACAAGGTGCATTTGAAATTTGTCAGCCATATGCATATTGAGGGTAAACAGACTGCTTACTGTCGTTTTTTTTCTGTAGTACAGGAGAAGAATTGTTCAAGATATATAGATTAAATCTTGGGTTGTAGGGACGAAGATATAAAAACAAAAACATATTGGCTGAAATTTTCATGTTTTTGATGTAAGTAATTCAGGTAACAAGCTTTAAATATTTAAATGTCATTTTGTTGATTCTTCAGATACAAGTAGCAGATAAAATTGGAATTTGCTAGATAGATACTTGTTGAAATGCTGTACATTTGGTGAAATTTCCTGAGTTTACTTCATTTACAGTGAAACACTTGAAAATATGGCGAGGAAGCTAATTAATGAGAAAGGCCTGGAAGCAGGACTAGCGTTCCCCACTGGCTGCTCCATTAATCATTGTGCTGCCCATTACACACCCAATGCTGGTGACCCAACAGTCCTACAGTATGATGATGTGTGTAAGATAGATTTTGGTACACACATAAATGGTAAGAAAATGCTTTTGAAAACTACAGCATATTTTCTGTGAATGTTTAATTAATTCTGGGTGTGTAGTGTTCATTTGTACTTAAACAAACTTTAGATTCACATAAAATCATTGTAGTGCTGCGTAGTGGATATATGTGTAAAAAGATCTCATCAGTTAGAATAGACTGTATAACGTAAATCACTTCATGTCTGTGTGAAATTCTTATAAGTTCTAGATATATTCAACATTGAAATTTTGGATAGATATGTTCTCTTTTCAGAGTGATCTGATATTTTTCAAATTAGATATTGAGCATTTTTTTCAAAGGGTAGTGACAGTTTATAAAGGGCCAAATATCAATATGGATTCATTATTGAAGCACAGTAGAAATTGTAGAAAGATTTATTGCGTATTCTTATTGAATCTGTTACAGGTAGGATCATTGACTGTGCTTTCACACTCACATTCAACCCAAAGTTTGACCGCCTAAAACAGGCTGTACAAGATGCAACCAATACAGGGATCAAGGTATCACCCTCTCTTCACAGTGCTTGTCCTCATCCCTGTCCTAAATCCCACCATTAAATTGAACCATCATCTTGTTCTTTACCACCAAAGCTCATCTTCACATAATGTTCTTACTTACCTAGGCCCTCACCTTCACTCCCTTCCCTTTTCTGCACTATAAGCCTCACTCAACCTTACTCTTGCCCACACTTATTAATCTCTCAGCCCTTGCATTCAACTTAAATTGATTATTATCACCCTAACATTTGCCAGTGTCACTCTTTTTATCATCACAATCCCAACCCATATGGTTAACGGCAATAGATTTTAAGATGTGACTCGCTCAAACAAGCCATTCAGAATGTAGCTAATTACAGGGCTTATATATTCTCTACATGGTTTATTCTCATTTTACATCCCATCCCATTATCTAACCGATAACTTAAAATACATTACACATGTACTTCTCAAAAATGATTTACAAATTACAACTTATATAAGAGTTCTCTCCCCAAATCCTACAAACAACACTATATTTAACAACACAAGTATATTTAAACAGATTTCTCAAAAGTCAGCGTACCTGATATATCATTATTGAATACCATAAAGATCAATTTTTTCCAACCAAAAAGGAAATTAGTTCTTAATTTCATGAGACTATGCTTTTTAATTAACACAAAATAATCTTTGCTCCAAAAAAAGAAACAAATATTTAACAATATGTGTTTACTTCCTTTGAATCTCTGTGTTTATACCTTTTCTCAGGAAGCTGGCATAGATGTACGTCTCTGTGATATTGGTGAGTCCATCCAGGAAGTGATGGAATCTTACGAAGTTGACTTGGACGGGAAGACATACCAGGGTAGATACTAGATTTTTTTTTCTTTCTTGTCAACTTTTGAAACAGTAATTTCTTGTAAAATCTGCTATTTTCATGCCATGAATTTTGAAACAGTTTCAAGCTAGTCCGACTAATTAATTAATATAAACTATTTTTCAATAAAGGTAGTTTCACAAATGAAAAAAAAGCATTAAGAGATATTCAAATTTCTGAATACAAATAAAAGCCACATGGTTGAAGTTTTCTGATGATAATTTCAGTGAAAGCTATCAGGAACCTAAATGGTCATTCTATCGGGCCATACAGAATACATGCCGGAAAAACTGTTCCCATTGTGAAAGGAGGGGAAGCAACCAAAATGGAGGTAAGTTGAACAAAGGGGAAGGATGCTTTTGAAAATGATAATCAAATTTTACTTGCTGGAAGTCAAAGAGATCATTATAATTTTTTTTTTTTTTTTTTTGTTATCTGAATATTTGAGTTATTATGAAAATTTTTCAATTTGATAATACTGGATTATTGTGTACAATGGTGTTTTCATGTATTCTTTGTTTTATGATGTCAATAACTGTTTAACAGTCAATGGAAGAAAAATTACTCTTCATTGATAACCACTCTTAATGAATTTTTTTTAATTGCCTACATCTAAGTTGTCATATTCTGATAAAAAAGATAAGACTAAATTATAGGAGTATTGTTATTCTTTGTCAGCTTTAAAAATATTGGATGCAATATGATATAATTGGAGGAAAGTGTTAGATTATTATTCTTTACCATACGTGTAGTCAGGCTGTTCCATCTAACGCTGTTACATCTACCGATAAAAATCAACTAATCACTGCCATGCTTCAAAGTGATGACACATGTGGTGTCTTGTTGCTCTGGTTCAACTAAAGTGAACCATTAGTTGATCTATGGTCATCTAGACATGTTAGACATCATAGTTTTTGGGTCCACTACATACATGCACTACTAGCTACCGAAGTGAATTTGATCTTACTGTGGTATACCTTACTTAACTAAACTATTGCTGATGATCAACCTCATCCAATATCTGTGATTTGAATAATCTTGATGCTTATCCAATGTATGTTATTGTTCAGGAAATGGAATTCTATGCAATTGAGACGTTCGGTAGTACAGGAAAAGGAATGGTACATGACGATATGGAAACATCACATTACATGAAAAACTTTGAAGTAGGGCATGTTCCTCTCAGGTAAGTTATGTTTTTAAAACTCCTTTATAAATTATCTTACCAGGCAATGACAAAAATCGTTAGATGGCAATGATATTTTAATTTTGCATGTCAAATTATTTATTTCTAAAGTTCTAAAATAGTTACTGACTTTTGTCTTTTGTGATGTCATTGTCACAAAAAAAATATTAAAAATCAGATCCTCCTTACTCCTTAGATGAATTTGAAATAAAAGTTACAACTTTTCTACCACGTTAACTAAAGTTTTGTTTTATTATTTCAGGGTCCAAAAATCTAAGCATCTATTGAATGTGATCAACCAGAATTTCAGCACGTTAGCATTTTGTCGTAGATGGCTAGACCGAATTGGAGAGACCAAATATCTAATAGCTCTTAAAAATCTCTGTGACGTTGGCATCATCGATGCATACCCTCCTCTGTGTGATATAAAGGGCTGCTACACAGCTCAGTTTGAACACACAATACTGTTACGACCGACATGTAAAGAAATCATCAGTCGAGGTCCTGACTACTAAACCTGGGTAGTTTTAGCACTGTGTTCAGGGCGGTGCATACTTATAGGTGTGTAAAACATTGCCCAAATATCTTTATTGGTTATGAGAGATAGTGCAAAGTCAGCATTAAGTGACTGCTGTGATCGAACTTGTGGAAGAAAGTGCTGTAATGACTATATGTTGATATCCTTTAGTGCTATCATTACTTTGGCTCCCGCTGCTGATGATAAGGACAGGACGTCCAGGTGGAGTATTATCCCAGAAATCTTGTGGATATAGATGTCGGATGGAAATAACTCAGTATCTTGCAAAATTAGTTGCCTTTTTTTTTCTTTTTTGTTTTTTGTTTTTGTTAAAAGAGGAAACAGAAAATTGGAATAAATGTGCCATAAGGGATAACTTTCAGGGAAACAAATTGAAATCCTTAAAACCTTCAATACCTTTTCCCAAAATGCTTGTGGCAGGTGGAGACTATTTTTATGAAGAAAAGAATTTAAAGAAAAAATTAGACTTTAACCTTGTAAACTTGATATTACAAATGTATTCTATATGATTTAGTTTAACATTATGCCAGGTGCATTGATGCCTCTGTGTATGTTATTTAAATATAATGCACAACTAGCTGTTTTTGAGGACTTTTGAGAGATATATTGTATTACAGTATAGTGAAACTTAACATACATACCATGTATGAGACCGAAATATTCAGTCAAATAAAACAAAAAAAATCAGAAAAAATAAAAAATAGATGTAGTAGCATTTGAGCTGCAAAATCATGTTCAACACTTTGGAAAGTTATACATTCATCAGGTTTGCCCAAATTGCATCTAGATCTGTATTTATTTTTTATACTCTGAACATCTTTTGAAAAGACAACTTTCCAGGAAGACAATTTAGAAAATAGAAGTTTATCCTGCTTTGGTCGTTTTGTTTTGTTCTTTCCTCGGGCATAGAACTCATTGTGTGTCAAGAAAACATTTAGGATCTAGACAGTATGATCTGGCAATGACAACGAAAGCTGTACAGATGAATGTCGATTCTATCACCTAGTATTCATCCTACCTGACTTCTTATTTAAGGAAGACATACAGTGTGTGCCTCCAAGTCTACCTGGCTTTTGATATTAAAGAAGATAAAATATTCAATCACATATTGACTTTATTTCTTTGGATATGAAATCTGCATTAAGTATAACTATACATGTAAGTTTATTCTCTGTAACTAACATTCAAGAACTTGGGCTTTCTATTATGTATTTATCCAACACATCATGTACCTGCAACTGTTGTTATCTCCCTTAAAATGATGTTATAATGTCAAATAATATCATATGACATGATAGTTGATGGACAAAGATTTTATTCAGATGAAAACATCTACCTGCTACATATGTCAATGATGTTTCTTTTTGTTGACATAATTATATCTCGCCATTAAAGCTGGTGGGGATATTAAAATGGGTTCTGTCCATCCGGCCAGATGCTGCTTACCACATAGCTTTTGAAGGACTGGTGGGATTTTGATGAAACTTGGTTGGTACACTTGATACTTTAATCCCTTGCACATGTTTAATAAATAGGGAATTCCGCGCATATTAGATGAGGCTGATGTGAACTGATTGGCTGATTTCTTTTATTGCTTTGATGCAGCTCTCAGCATATCTTTTGCAAATTTGGTGCATATTTAATGAGCTACTGTGAGCAGGTTGTGTTATTTCTTTATTCACTCTATGGGAAATCTTTCTGCACATTAAGAAGGAGTGATAAGATCTTTAGAATTTTTAGGAAACTTGTTTAGAAGACTTGTTAGCTTAACCCCATTTTCAAGTTTGATTGTCAGCAAACTCTTTGCATATTTAATGAGACTGCTATTACAGATATCTTTTCCAGTTTTCCATGACCTGATCTATTGTGATTGTCTTTTGTCCTGTATCGTGCCTTACATTTTCGAATTCTTCTCAATAACCAGAAGCCCCAGGGTTATGATATTGGGCCAGTAGCATGCTCAGATAAAGGCTTCCAAATTTGTTCAAATGAATGACCTTGACCTGTTTTCAAGGTCACATGTCAAATTTGTTAAAATATGTGTATGACTTCTTCTCAATAACCAAATGACTGGGTCATTACATTAGGCCATTAGTATGTTAGGATGAAGGGCTATCATGTTTGTTGAAATGAATGACCTTGACTTTCATTTAAGGGCACGGGTCAAATATGCTCAACTACAACAACTGACAGTATTATCAGTTCCATTTATTTGATAATTAAGCCTTAAAACTGCATATATATTAGTTCTGTTCTGTCTGCTCCAGTGCTGGTGGATAGGTTCTAAAACTGTCCAAAGACCTGAAGACCTCAGATGACCGTTGAGACCCATGGACTTCTTGTTCTTTAAGCTTACGTGTAGTTGTCTTGTTCTAGTATGGGAACTGTACATTTGACCTTTAACTTGTATAAGTGACCTTTATTATCAATGAAAATAGTATTATCTAGAAGCGATAATGAAACTACATTAAAAAAAAACGTTTTGTGATTTAAATTCCTCTACCGCCAGTCGACCATCCATGACCTGAAAATCATAAATGGTCACAGCAACAGTTCTGATAGGTAAGATAATCAACCATCTTAATTGTCAGTCTATACTGTGTGTATACTTTTATATAGAGATTCTTACACGGGTTTCCCTTCATAAAAACCTGATGAAACAGTCCCTGATGACGAGTTAATAAATTAAATTATCACGGGTTTCTGTGTAAAGTCCCTGATCAGGAGTTAAAATTTTAAATTATCACGGGTTTCTGTGTAAAATCCCTGATCACGAGTTAAAAATTTAAATTATCACGAGTTTATTTCTCTAAAGTCCCTGATCACGAGTTACTCGATTCTTAACTCACCAGTATCGGTTTTTGAAATTACATTTGGCATATTTTCTTCAAATGTACAACTAAAACAAAATTTAATATGCCGACTCTGACATACATTAAAGCCAATATTATGTAAAGGTATATACAACTTTGTGATAATCTATTTTGGAACATGTCGGAATGTCCGGCGGTGCATTATGCATTTGTCCAGTTAGGTACTCTTCTTGGCTTCTATCTTGCCTTTACATTGAGGTTAATCGGTATCTATGATTATTTAACAAAAACACTGCCAAACCGCCAGTCAGAAGACTTCGGTGGAATAAGGGCCGAAACTCCTATTGGCTGGAATGCACCTGGCGACGCTGAAGACTTGTTGAACCTCCTGTAAATATGTATACCTAAACAACAAGCGTTTGGGTTTATCAGCAACTGTGTAAATGGGTTTATAAGCAACTGTGTAAATATATATACCTAAACAACAAGCGTTTGGGTTTATCAGCAACTGAAAAATCTAAGTTTATACTTCATACCCGAGTACCCGGGTACTTACTGTATAACTGGTAATTTCCACAGGTAATAAAAAAATCACCCGATTTTCCTTTAAAACTGTTTTAACGAATTCTAATTTCGTGATCTGAATGCAAAAGGACATGTTATAAACACGTGTGTCATTTCACGGATTCAATTTTCGCGATCACGTGACACATAACCGGCTACAGAGTTGTATATATGGGTAACTTCCATGGAAATCTAGGTAGGTAGCGACGGGAGAGGAACCGTGATACTGTAGAGACAGATGCGTGGACAACGGCCAGGCAGTGTTGCACATGCTATAAATCACCTGAGGTTGCAAAAATTAAAAATGATGAATGCACATCATTAAATATGCCATTATTACCCATTTGGCATTCGTATTTCTTATGAATGCCAACTAACAGCAGATCGATGCTTAAATAAAGTTATATGTAATATTTTTGTTCTAGGCGAGACCTGGTAGAGAAAAAGATGTTCGTAATGTCACATTTAATTGGTCATAAGAGCTGCGTAATAATTTTGTAAGAGGAAAAGATTGGTTAAACTCATCGATCCAGTATTCCGAGTTAATTTTGTTCTCAGTGCGTCCGTGTTACAATATCTTCATGTTGAAAATACTTAACGTTCTTTCTTACTCTACCAAGTTGCATGATCTCATCAGGTGTATGTCTACAGACGTAAGTCACGTACATGATTCTCTATCAGAGGTCATTTATCATAATGCCAACACTAGGACTAGCATTCGAACCCGGAACCTCTGGTTTACTTATCTTTTGCTTAACGTAAGAACATACCTAATTATTAAAAATTACAGAGAACCCTTTTTTCATGGATGATGATTTTTTATCAGATATTAAATTTTAGTGTGTCTTGGATTTTTTTTCCTTCGGTAAGTACAATGCTACACATCAATATTCGATGGAATGGAATGATATCCGAGTCCATGAACTTTGTCGCTGTATTCTGTAATTTATACCGTGTCTTCATTTCGTAAAAGTTTTACATAACAGTGAAAATAGTATACACATATATCGCACAATAATTTACAGCGTCATGTGACGGCGTGAAAATCACTCCACAAACAACATCATGTTTGGACCCGTATTCTATCAACAGAAATGAAATAGTGCTTGTTAATCTAAGTATTCCGGGTCTTCTGAAAAATCCAAGCGTGTCTGATTGAAATGGAAAGATTTATTTTAGCTACCATGGCGTTTCGTCATTGATGTACCTCCGGTTGATGTACACTGTTTACCTGTCGACAGGAGAAATACGTCAAGTCATAGTTTCTTGTGTGAAGAGTGCGGTTTAATTTTCGAATTAACCTGATTTTGATAAGATACGTCTAGGTAGGTCTACGTACAGATAGGCTATGTCAACAAGACGAGTCAAGACCGCAACCTTTAATCTCGGTGGAATTCCAAAGGAGTTAGAAAAAGACGGGTGGTAACTTCTAGACCAATTCTAATTGGTCGAAAAATCGGGAGAAAGTCAAACGCGGAACCTGAGAGTAATTTATAAACTATCGTTTCAAAATATACACGTACCACTTCAGGTAACTGCAAACATTGATACCTATAAAGTTGCATTTAAAAAAAAGACAAAATCTTTTATTCTATTCATTGAAAGGAGATGTCAGTTTTGAATGATTCACTTCCACGCAACCATATAATGTTGTTCAATATCATAACCCTAGTGTGGTTATGTTTGGGCAAATTTCGCGCAGCAATTTTGAGAGTTGATGAAACTACCGTAAATACGTGGAATTCCGTACCTTAACGCAATCAATGCATGTAAGATTACCATAAACACTTATTTAAATATTTAAATATTTAACATCACAACAGTACTTTAAAGTGAAATTATGATAAGATAATTGCAACTGACCCTGCTGTATGTTATACCAGAAATGCCCTTGCCGTTATACCAGAAATACCCTTGCCGTAATACCAGAAATGCCCTTGCCGTTATACCGGAGATGCCCTTTCCAGCCGTTTCATGTTTCGGATGTTCCCGTCACTGGATCTACTCCATCGTATACGATGATATTTTCCTGCTAAGTAGGATAGAATATCTTATTTATATTGCTCAAAATGTTTTCAGAAATGTTGGTATAAATGTTTTCTAAATGTTATCATAGTCGATATGATTTCAAGATGTCCGAGCCATCTTCAATAAAACTCTCATGGGATTTGTTGATCGGTCACTTTCAATTGTGTCGACTTTAGTTTCATCCAGGAAACATTTGTTTAAATGATATCAGTAAGAGGGTAGGTGTTCAGTAAGTGTTTGCTCACTATTTCTATCTTAAACAAGAAACAAAGTTACTTGTCGGATACCTAGAAAAAATGTAAAGAAATACCTCCGTCTGGACTACTCGACTACTAAAGGTTCTAGAGTCTGTAACAGCCAATTGTACGCGAATAATTGTCATTTCAGTGTACTCATAATACTGACGTCATAATGGCCACGTGCTGCATGGCATTTATTGTATCTTAAATCACACATCTGTGGTGTTAGCTTGCATAGTGGTATCACCTTGCTTTTGTTTGTGGGGTTTATGCTCCATGAACAGTCGTGCAAATGTCATACGTAATTATATGCTTTGCGATGTTAATTCTTGGTGTCTTCCATTAAAATATGTCTATTTTAGTTGTATTTATTTTCGTTTTATCTATTTATTGCAAGCTTTACTACTGTGTAACTTAAATTGATAAAATATCACCTTTGCGAATGTGCTTGTAAAAT